CTACGGACTGTAAATAATTGGAAAGCAGTAAATATATACTGGAGGCTGTTTCTGGAAAAGCTCCGTAGGATTGCAAATCACCGCTCCGAAATCAACAGTTTAACATCTTGATGCAAAATAAAAATAAAAAAAGTTCAAATCTAAGCAGAAGTAGATGTTCACGATTTTTATTGATGCAGCCACAAAAAGTTTCAGTCCAAAGGTATGCTTTTCTGCGCAGATTAATATTGCAGAGAGAATTTAATCAGGTTCTCTCAAAAGAATTTGCTTGTCAGCAAAGCTTGGAAGCCCTTCAATCTGGATTAGATTGGGGTCCTCTCTTATTTTCCTATGTGAGTCATGGATCTGGGCACATTAACTCACTAGGACAGGCCAAGCTGTCATGCCTCGTTCCCAGGAGCCAAGTTCAAGTTCTGACACAGACAGGGAAACAGTCGATGCCACAATTTGAGTAAATAATTTATATGTTGAAATGTCAGTGCATTTGCTTCATGTTCTTTACATATATTCTCTCCAAAAAAGGATGCATAACATGCACATGTACACGCAAACTCGCACACTGAGATGAGGAGGAGGAGGAGGAGGAGGTGAAAATCACGTAAGAAGCGCGTAGAAACAGCGCATGGATATCTTTCTTTTTTTGGAAAGCAAGTAAGATGTTTCCATTGAGAGGGTAATAAGGGAATGTGATGGAAACCAGTCGAGCCAAGCACCCATACTTACAATTTGTTTTTTAAAAATAGTACCTGTTATAAAGATGATGTATTTGTTGTTGTGTGCCTTCAAGTCTTTTCTGACTTATGTAGACCCCAAAGCGAACCTAACAGGTGACCCCTTTGGTCGGACACAACTTGACAACCTTGTCAACGGGGAATACCTTTACCTTTTACCTTAAAGTGAACCTATCACGGGGTTTTCTTGCCAAAAATTTGTTCAGAGAGGGTTTACTTTCGCCTTCCTAGCTAAAGTATTTTTTAAAATTAACCAAAATCATAGAGCTGGAAGGGACCACAAAGGCCACATAGTCCAGAAACAGACTACTAAAGCACTCCCTCTGGTTAAAGACCTCCAAAGATGGAGAGTCGACCATCCTCCGAGACAGTCGTTTCCACAATTTAAGTAAATAATTTATACGTTGAAATGTCAACCCATTTGCTTCATGTTCTTTACATATATTCTCATCAAAAAAGGATGCATTACACGCACATGTACACGCAAACTCATACGCTGAAATGAGGAGTAGGAGTAGGAGGTGGAAATCACGTAAGAAGCGCGCAGAAAGCAGAAACGGCGCATGGATATCTTTCTTTTTTTGGAAAGCAAGTAAGTAAGTTTCCATTGAGAGGGTAAGGGAATGTGATGGAAACCAGTTGAGCCAAGCAGGGCGCCATCAACGAGGCATGAAAAATTGAAGCCAGGCGGAAAAGGACATTTAAAGTGCGGTCACGCTGCTCCTCGCCAACATTTACGGTAACATCAGATGCACAGATGGCAAAGTATTAACTAAACAAGAAGGTGTCAAAACCAGCTAGGAAGAACAACAGTTGAGAGAAAGAAAGAGAGAGGCTCTGGTAGGCGCTGACAGATGTTTCCAGCAGTGCCAAATATTTAAAAAGTCTTCTTCAGCGCATAGCGGGACACCTTTTTCAAAGTTTGCCAGGTAAGTGTGGGGAAGGGTAGGGGGGCAAAAGAGAGCCAGAGAAGGCAAAGACACCCCTGTGAGGTTGGCCATCTCATCTGCCAATGCCGAAATGTACTCTTGGCAACACAAATGGGTAGCAGCAGCACTCTGGGTAGGTTAGTTGGCAATATCGTTGGATGCAAAACGGTGCGTTCCTCATCTATTTGGGGTTCAAGCTGGGAAGATGGAACGCTCTCTAGGCACCACCGGTGCAGAACAGAATTGTTTTATACCCTCCTGTCTTTAAAGAAAAAAATAGGCACAGATGGTGTTTTCCCCCCAAAAAAAGGAAATGTAAAATTCAGGGCAAGACTCAGTGGAAACCTGATTATGAAATGTTGTGTTTCTGCAGAAACTTGTGGCAGGCAGAGCCAAGAATAGCAAAAAGAAGATTTCTTGGCAGTCACGGGTTCCCCTGCCACCCTAACCGGAAATATCGTGGCAGATGTAGCTCTCTTTTCCAATGATCCTCACAAACAACTGAATAATAATAATAATAATAA